GAGGAAGAGAGCTGTGTTCCTGACACACTGCGGGCCCACAGTGTTCAAGATGGCCAAGGCACTGGCTAAACCTCAAGATGTGAAGGAGATGGCATGGACAGACCTGGACCTGCTACTGCAAAACTATTACGCGCTGGCCGTGCCCAACCTCATCCAGTGGCATGAATTTTACAGAAGGGGCCAGAAGGAGGACGAAAGCATCAGCGACTTCGTGGTGGCCCTAAGGAACCTTGGGTGTGTGACATGGACGAGGCTCTGAGAGACTGCGTGGTTCTCGGACTAAGGGACCCCATACTCTAGAGCCAGCTGATGGCTTGAACGGACATCTCAGTCACCGAGGCCATCGCCGAAGCCACCGCAGCTTAGGCAGTGAAACAGTCAGGAGCCAAGATGCGACAAATGAACACGATATACCAGCCCCGGACAAAAGACCAGAAGCAAGCCAAAAAGCCACAACCACGCACCATGGGGACATCGACTCCTTTTCCGAGACCGAAGATGAAGAGGAGGAAATCCACAGACTACAATCGGAACGAGACCGACGGGAGCAGAGAGGTCATAAGTCGGGTTCCAGTGTGCCGGGTGCGGAGGAGACCATCCCTGTTCAGAGTGCCGGTTCCTAGATGCCAGTTGCCAGCATTGTGAAAAACAGGGACACATCGCCAAAGTCTGCCGGAACAAGAGAAATTACAGCCCGAGGCAACGAGACACCCCCCCCCACCCCGAACCAGAGACTGGCACGCAGAGAGCCGGTGAAGCTGCGAAGGCAGAAGCAAGCGGCTCAGCGAAAACCGGCGGAAGAGACCTACCAAACGGTCATCATCGGGCACTCGAACACAACCGATGCTCGAAAAGTGCACGTACAGGTAAACATCGAAGGCCAACCGTGCAACATGGAGGTGGATTCCGGATCCTATCTCTCCATGGTCTCCTGGAATACAATCAAGCATCTAGTACCTAGCATACGCAGACAAGAGTTAGAGAACCAGAGACTGACCCTGAAAGATTACCAGGGGAACCGATTCCCGTGGTCGGAATCAGACACTTTCAGGTAGTTTTTAAAGGGCATACAGAAGTAGTCCCACTGAATATTGTCGATAAAAACTGCCCAAGCCTGCTGGGACTGGAATGGTTCACGCCATTGGGGATCAAGGTGACTGGCATCAACCATGTCGCTGAAACAGACTGGGAGGAGACCCTCATGAAGGACTTCCAGGAGGTCTTCAACGGCGAATTAGGCAAGTACCGTGGGTCCACAATCTCTTTTAATCTGAACCCAAATATTGTCCCGATCCGCCTTAAGCCACGACTTAAGCCCTTCGCATTCAAACCCAAAATTGATGAGCAACTAAACAAGCTCATCGCACAAGGGGTCCTGGAACAGATAGACCACGCACGGTGGGAAACCCCAATAGTCACCCCAATAAAACCAGACGGCTCCGTGAGAATCTGCAGTGACTACAAGGCCACCCTCAACCACACACTGCAACAGAGTGTATACCCCGTACTGATGGTACAGCACCTCCTACACTCGCTGGGGAGAGGAAAAGTATTTGCAAAGCTCGACCTGGCACAGGCATACGAGCAGCTGCCAGTCGACGCCGAGACAGCCAAGGCACAGACTATTGTGACCCACAGGGGGGCATTCCATTGCAAAAGACTCCAATTCGGAGTCAGCGTGGCCCCAGGGGTATTCCAGAGTCTAATGGAACGATTATTACAAGGAATCAAAGGGGTGGTGCCTTATTTCAATGACGTGCTAGTTTCGGCGAAAAACAAAAACCAATTGGAAAGCCGCTTCAGGGAAGTCCTGCAAAAATTTAAAGAAGCAGGACTCAAAGTAAAAAAAGAAAAGTGCCAACTATGCACAGAGAAAGTAGAGTTCCTGGGGTATTTGATTGACAAAAATTGAATCCACCCCACCGAAAAGAAAGTTAAAGCCATCAAAGAAGCCCCTAGACCTCAGAATAAAACGGAGCTGCAGGCTTTCCTTGGATTTATTAACTTTTATAATGTTTTTCTGCCGCAGAAGGCAACAACAGCGGAACCCCTACATAGACTGCTAGACAAGACAGCCACCTGGTCCTGGGGAAAGCAGGAAGAAAATGCGTTCCAGAAAATAAAAGACCTGCTAACATCAGAATCAGTCGTCATACACTACAGCGAAACCCTACTGCTGATTGTGACCTGCGACGCTTCACCATTTGGTGTCAGAGCCATCCTAAGCGACACTCTGCCAGATGGGAGAGAAGCGCCAATCGCATTCTTCTCCAAGACATTGTCCAGGGCAGAGAGGAATTATAGCCAGCTGGACAAAGAGGCGCTAGCAGCGATCACCGGTGTGAAGCGGTTCCACGAGTACCTGGAACCCTTATCACTGACCATAAACCACTACTAGGAATACTGGCAGGGAACAAGGCCACCCCGAACATATTGTCACCAAGGATGACAAGGTGGTCCGAATTCCTTGTCACCTACAACTACCAACTAATACACCGACCTGGAAAAAGCATCTCACACGGAGAGGCACTGAGCTGCTCCCCCCTACCCGACCTGGAAGACGACCCGGCACCCACAACATCTACACTAGATATAGAGACATTACCCAACCCACCCCTGACCACTTCAGACATTGCCAAAGAGACTAATAAAGAAAGGCAACTGGCACAAGTTTTGAACTGGGTGGAAAAAGGGTGGCCAGAAATCGATGGTGGTGATCAGTTTAAACCTTTCCGGAACCGACAGACTGAGCTATTAACACAAAGGGGTTGTATATTATGGGGGGACAGAGTTGTGGTTCCTGAGACATTACAAAAAAGAGTGCTGGCCATGCTGCAAGAGGCAGCAGGCATAATCAAAATGAAAGCCCTGGCCAGGAGTTACGCTTGGTGGCCAGGGATGGACAAATATATTGAAACATGGGTGGCAACATGCTGGAAATGCCAGAAATCCAGACCAAACCCCCCTTCTGCGCCTACGCTTGAATGGGAGACCCCCAGAGGGCCATGGTCAAGGGTCCATATAGATTTTGCCGGACCCACAAAGGGACATATATTCCTAATAATGGTCAACACTTACTCGAACTGGCTGGAGGTTAGCATCATGAAATCCACCACCATGGAGGCCGTTATCAAAAAACTAACAAAACTGTTTGCCACCCATGGACTACCGGACTTGCTAGTGTCAGACAATAGTCCACAATTTACGGCGCTGTCACTCAAGAAATTTCTTGTGGAACGGGGTATACGACATGCTTTGACAGCGCCCGCTCATCCAGCGGTGAACGGGCGGGCAGAAGGAATGGTTCATTACACAAAAGACATGATAGAAAAAATTGACACCGGGGACATACATGACAAAATAAATAAAATGCTCATGATACAACACATAACACCCAGCACGACGACAAACAAAGGCCCAGCAGAGCTATTGATGGGCAGAAAATTATGATCACAACTAGACAGACTGCACCCCACATACAACCCCGAAAAACCACCAGACTTGTCTAGTAAATACTGCATATTTACTCCGGGAGACCCAGTCTACACAAAAAAAATCACAGGGGACCCGCTCTGGGTACCAGCCCAAATAACCCAGTTGATGGGCCCCCGGTCATACCGGCTGGAAACAGATGATGGAAGAAGCTGGAAATGACACATCGACCAACTAAGGTCAAGAACAACCACCGACAACATGGGCAACACACAAACACCACAAATAGACATTAATAAAAAAACCAGAGGGGGAGAGAAACCCCAAACATTAACCAAAAGGGAGGAGAAAATCCTCCCAGAACACAGCAACAACCTGAACACCCCCAACCAAAACCAAGAGACAGAAAAACAAACCAACACTACTTACCGGCAGGCAACTTCGGCAGAAGGGAACCCTCAGCAGAAGAACAACACGAAGTCTCGCCTGGAAGAAGCAGCCAAGCCAGCTCAACCAGCCTGGAAAGACCAGGAGGGAGCAGCGGAGCCGACAACTTGACCAACTCAGGTAGACCGGGTGGGAGTTGCAGCAATAGGCCTGACTCACCCTTCCACGCAGTTCCATCAAGAAGGACGAGAGCAACAAGGATCCCGTCCGAACCAGCCGAAGACCAAGCAACAACTGAGCTGCGCAGGTCAAGTAGGCACATAAAGAGCCCTGCCTATTTATGGGACTACGTTACATAGGACTGAACCAAGAGGGGAGGGGTGTTCTATATTAGCATATTCCAAATTCTCTTATCTGATTGGTCCACACATACTGCAAGATGATTGGTTAACTAAACTACTGTGATTGGCTCACTATGAATCAACCATGATTGGCCGGACCGATCCCGGGAGATTCAAAGAGCTGTCATTGGCTGGCGAGCCGCGAGAAATCCCTATATGAAGGGTTGCCACGGCTCGAAGATCTTGTACAGATCTATACATTAAAATAAAGAGCTGAAAAGTCACACTGGTCTTGAGTCTCCTTTCCCACGACTTAACACTTTGCATTATGGAGCTATATTTTCATAGAATGGCAACAATATCCCAACCACACCATTTTTAATTCCTGGCATTCTCTCCAGTTATTAGAACAAAATCTTGCCTAAAACTATAGGGGACTACCTATTGTCAGTCAGTGGTTGTGCTCATATATCATGCTAACCATGTGTTTGCTTTATCTTCACTTTGCACAATATAGAAACTCCACCAAGTGTATGTCGATTTATTGATTTCCAGGATTTATATCCTGTACTAACAGGCTCTAGGAATGTATCAATAAGATAAAGCATTAAATACAACAACAAAACATAAACCAGTAGATAAAGAAGGTGCCTATGAACAATATCAGTATCTCATTCAAATAGAATAGCTTTAACTTGTTTATGGAAAAAATAAGCAATGTTAGAGCCCTCTGAACCTCATGGGAGGGAAGATATTCCAAAGGGTGGGGGCCAATACTGAGAAGTGAATTATGAAATCTCATTCTGTCTCTTTTCCTATTCCTTATAATAATCTTCCCAGAAGGTTTGAAAGATGGTGTTCCTACAAATAAAGGGGGATCCCAAATTCATACTGGAACAATTGTTGGAATCCTCCTCGCGGTTCTTCTGATTGCTGCTATTATTCTTGCTGGCATCTACATCACCAGTAATCCTACTTCAAGTGCTGCTTTGTTCTTCATTGAGGTGAGCTTAAGAGAAGTCCCTTGTTTATACTTATTAAGATTTAGAAATAGTTTAGAGCGGGGGAGGGGGGATACTATTCATCCCATAGGATGCAATCTATTAGCACCCCCTTGGTATTGCCCAGAATCTCTCCAGAGCGGACAGGATAAAAACAAATAAACCTCTTTTTTTTTCCTTTTGCAAAGTTGGGGAATCTTAAAGGCAAAATGAATGGCCAATACTGTAAAGGTTTTATCACTTAAACTGGTCTCCAAGGGGCTCTGCTTTGCATCCTGTCTTACCCGCTTCAGTTTGGCCGCTATGGCTTCATAGCAATAACAGTTTTGTACTTTGAATCATTGGTTGCAAGTATATGGTATGCAAATTTAACTGCACAAAAGTTGCTTAAATTAAACCTTGTTTTAACCCTTCCTTCTCTCTCTCTTAGGTTTGAGAAGAAATGTTAAAAGAGGGGAGGGGAGTGGCAGAATTTTGTAATTCTTTCAAAAGATAAAAAAAGGAAAAAAAGAATCTGGGAAAAAAGAATTTGAAAGGAAGCGAAACTAGAAAATAAAATGAGTATGTCAGTAACTACAGAAAGCATTTTATCCAAGCTCTCCTCAAACCTAACAGCACCCTTTTGTGTTGTACAATGGCTAGAGTATTCAGTTAAGATCCAGGAAAAATGCAGTCAGATGAAGTTTTCTAGGGGATGTTATAGCCTGGTCTACCATATAATGTTGTGGTAAAGATAACACTGGAGAAGGAATACTTCCTAACATTTTTTAGAAGACTAATACAACCTTTAACACTGGAGGGTGAAAACTGCAATTAGTAAGCTATGATAAAGAACAGGCAGATAGAAATTTGTGTGTAGGATATGTGTGTGCGTGTTTTTTTTGAATTTTCTCAGATTGAAATTTTTCTCTTTCTTTTTGCACTGCAGCAAAGACCACATCAGTGGCCTACCATGAAGTTCAGAAACCGCTCACCTTACACTGAAGTAGAACCATCCGGTCAGGAAAAGGACAGTTTTGTTGAAGCAGATCAGTGCTAGAGAGTATACCTCCTTTATTGCTCCTATACCTTTAATCAAGAGTCTCCCATCTACTGTTTTATTTTGTGATAGACACAGTTGAAGGGGGGTGGGGGGAGAGAGGGAAAAACAAGCAAAATTAAAAAGAACCCCAAGAGAGGGTTGGAATGGATAAATTAAGAGTGCTTTGAAATGAGATGGGTGGCAAATAAATTTCATAATAAATAAAATCAAAATAAATTAAGCCTGAAAAGATTAGAGAGGCACATGTGGCATAGGGCTGCTAGGTAAATCAGCAAGAAAAGTTATGACTTTACTGCAGAAGATAATAGAACCTGACCATCTTGCATGAATATTGTCAGGTGTAGCCATCCATAAATATTATGGACTATGGGAAAAACTCTCTGCCCAACCCCCCTTTTGTAGGCATTTTAACCATAAATACAAAGTGCCAAAATAATGTGTGGAACTGTTTTCCTCCTTCAAATACAGATTGAAGCTGTCCTGCTAAACTTTCCTTGAAAGATATGAAGGATTTTTTAGAGAATCGTGGAACAGCTGGTCTGACTTGAACTCAACACCTCAGCCTTGTGGCCATAGTTATTGAATGAAGCATCTCGATTTGGGCTGGGCCTGAAATGCAGCCTTCATATTTATATGAAATGGTGACATCCAATTAGCAAAAAGGAGAGGAGGTTACTTAGAGGCATTTCTATTGACAGTAATTTTCTCTACCTGACATTGAACTAGTCAGAAAATAATATATATATCAACTCTGTACCAAGCAAACTCATATGACTTCTCCTATGAATTATTCTATAACTTAGTTATCTTTTGTATTCTTTCTAAAGGCTTAAAAGCCAAACATGGACAAGATTTGTAGCGGAACAAAGTGGGGAATTTTCTCAACAGGATGCAGACATGTTTATTTTCATGAAGGAAAATTTGTGAAATTTATGACTAGAAATTTATTTTTTTATATCTCCATTTCCTCATTTTTCTTTCAATTCAATTTTTGCTTCAATTAATCATGATACCGAAGGTAGGATATCAGGATTTCAAGTATCAGGATCATTTCCAGGCTCATTTTAAATTGTGGGTATATATTTTTTTAAGTTTTGGAAATTGTGTGATTCTTTAGATTTTGCTCAATTTCCCTATTTTCTCTTATATAAGAGAATAACTGCATCTCTAAAAGGAAAGAATAGATCTTAGTGCTACAAACAATTTCTCACTTAAACAGTTTGCTGTTCCATGAACAATGCACTCTAAAATACACTACATCCAAATGGGAATCCAACTCAGAACATGAGTTATTGATTTTGTGGCACATAAGGCACTGATCCTGATGGTTTAGCATTGGACAAAGTACTGGCTTTTTCCTGTAACATTTCCAAGGTTTTGTCAAGAAGGAAATTCCCATTTACAAGTAGTGAATGTTATTGTACAAACAGCACTATTTTGCCGTATTATTGGCAGGAATGCTTGCTTTGTCCTGTCTGCCTCCCAATAAAATGGCTGAATGTCAGAACTGGGGTAAAAAGACAACCACAGTATAGCAGAATAAGCAGCCCAGTGGCTTGTTAATATCTTAAAAACATGAAATCCCCAAATTTCATTCTTTTTGTTCAGATGCAAAATAAAAAAATCTTGCTTTGTTTTGCTTGCTGGCTGGCAAAGGAACAATGATTGGCTGAGACATTTTAAATTCATTTATTGGTACAGAAAGGGTTCTGATTTTTCTCTCTGTTTTGCAAAAAGTCTATACTATTTTGGTATATTCCAATAGTCAGATCTATCTTACTAAATCCTGTTTAGTTTTAATTCTAAAATAAGATTTACGATATAAAACATACATTGATTATCAATCCAATTTTTTTCTACATCCATCCCATGTCAGTCTCTATTGTTCTCACCAACATATTAATACAGATTGCAACCAAAATTAGGAAGCATAAATATGAAATGCTGTCCACTTACATTGCAGTAATACAAGTTAATAGACCACAACCCACATCTCCTCCCTTTATTCCAGGTAATATTTCATATGGATGTAACTTTCACCACATTTTGAATTTCCCATTTATGCTTTGTATATTGGCTGCTATATGCAGGGGAAAGAGAAAAGGCAGGGACAGTATATTGCTAATACATTATATGCTAATTTAATTAACTACCAGAAACTTAGCCAGTTATTTGCTGGTGCATGTCATATCTTAAAGATAACTTACTGTACTTTAGCCCAGAGGTATTAAATACTTTACCAGGGATGTCAAACAGGCAACTAACAGGACAGATGCGTCACGCCCAGGCCACGCTCACCCCAGCTCTGTGAAGGGAAAAAAAGCCATGTGACAGCAATGTGACACTGTGTGTTTCGCAAGGGGTTTCTTCAGGATCAAACTTTAATTGTAAATGAATGCACAGCAATGCAAGATTGAAGAAAGCACTACAATGAAATTGGAGCTATTACCAATATTTTATGTATCTTTGCTGAACATTTTTAAAAAGAAAAGATCAAAGAAAAGTAGCAACAATACAACCAAATATGAAATAATGTATCTCAAAATCCCATCTTGGAAAATATTTATAATGAACTTATAATTAAATATATTATTTAATCACAACTGTTACAATGCTTCTATGAAGAGATGTATTAGGAAGAGAGAACACAGGCCTAAATAATTGCAACTGTTTTTGAAAAAATGTCTCACAATCAAATGGATACAATTTTTTTAAAAATCTTCCTTTAACCCCACTCCATACTGGTTTACACTGATATTTTATAAACCTTTTGGGGGGCAATTACCTGTTTTCAAGTTCAAAATATAAAATCAAGTATTTTGTTCCTTTGCTAAAACATCACACTAACTCTTAGTTGTTTTACTATAATTCATTAAATAAATCACAAAATGCTGAGCTATAAACCACAATCTACAAATTATAGTTTGTATTCATAATGTGCTAAACCAAAAAGATGCATTTTGGTTTAGTGCAACATGTGAATGTATGCATCACCAAAGAGTCTACAGTTACTCTGAGATTAGTTTCGTACATCATAGTAAAAATTGGGTTTTGCTTAGCATGTTGTGTGAACACAGCCATAGTGACCTACAGATAATAATATTTAAATTTAGTATGTTATACAAACCCAGCCACTTGCAGTTTTGTTAATACACTGTAACATCATGGGTTAGCATAAGGTATAATGCCAGGTCATGCATCTCTTGGAACTGTATAGGTAACTAGAAGCCATGTTCATGGAAATTGCCAAATTTGGATGTGTTGAGCATATCTGATCTATAAAGAGTCCTTGCAGCAACTCCCTCTGTATGTAAAAATCCTTTCAGTTAATATTTATCTCATAGCAATGCAAGGCCTAATTTCTTTCTACATACTTGAATTTATAGTATATTTCTGTTTTGGGAAAGATGAAGTAGGAAAGCTTCAGGCAAAGCATTTAATATGGATTATTTGGATGGAATGCAATGTTGATATTACAGTAATATATAATATTAAGTACTAAAATACTTTTCAGATTGCTTCAAGTTTCAGATTAAAAAAACCAAAATTGTGACTGATCTTTGGATGGATTTATGTTAGATCTATATGATTGCATAGCCATTCCATCATTCATTATATGTGTGAATAAACTTCCAATGCAATTAAACTAACACCTAGACTTTGACCATTTTTTGCATACCTTTTGTTATCAGAGAAACCAGATTTTGACTCATCTGAATTCTCACAAAGGAGATTTGTTTTGGGGCTATGGTGAACTGTCACTAGATTTCCTTATGAAAGGTGCTTGTTTGGGAAAAGGAACTGATCCTTGTTAGATGTAAAAAGGAAGGTTATAGATGCAGCGGTGTCAAACTGACAGCCCGCAGGCTGGATGGATCATGACAGGCCATGCCTACCTTGGCTCTTCAAATGCAAAAAAAACATTGTAATACATCATGTGATGTCCCATGACACAATTGAATTTAACACCGGGGTTACAGACTAACAACCATACAATAGGAATTCATTTAGAAAACAATAGTGTAGTATTGGCTAGTTTGCTTAACATGCTCCAAGCTATGGAATCCCTCTGTTCTATGGAGCAAGAATTTTTTTTAGAAGAAAAATTATTTGAAAGGGTCAATACAAGATCAATTATCTCAATTATTACCTTCACAATCTGCCATGCCCAGTTTTCAGCAAGTATTCCCTGGAGTTTCCCCTGATGAAGTGCACTAAAGTTTTGTCTGCCCACTTTTGTGATACATGATATATCAATAATAAATACTCTTATTAAAGCATATCAAATGCACATATTAGAGCAATTATTATACCAATACCATTACAAACATACAAATACCCCATTTTTACACCATTTCCCCCTTCCATTAACCTAATATAGTATAAGTCCTACTATGAATTCAATCAATCGTTTGGCTGTTCAGTGGTGAAAAGCTGAAAAGCTGAAATGTTGGTTGGTCTTGTCATCTGATTAGCAGAAAGAGGTGCAATAGAAAGTGAGGCAAATGTTTAATTGGTGAAGGCTAACCAAATCCAATGCTGCTTCGTTTGCATTACCTTGGAGTACTGTTCCTGAAGTGACTACAGTTTCTCCTGATAGGTTCCTATTGAAGGCTACTGAACCAACATAATCATTAGCCATTATTGTGGGGTAGCCAGGATTTTATTAACATTCAACATTCATCTATACCTAGTGATTCATTAGGGATTTTTCAAATCTGTTTCTGTAACTCTCAGTTATTTTCACTAGCAAGAAAGGAGGTTCTTGTTTCCATGAGGTATACAAACCTCCTTCTTTGGGGAAGGTTCTCTTGATAGGCATAGACTGGGTTAGGGGCAACAAATCATTGACTGGAGTTCAGGATGGCTTGATTTCAAAGTGACTTCTACTGCTTTGATGACCCATGGTCAGCAGGACACAGATTAACTGTTAAAGAGACTGTACAAATAAAAAGTGTTATAACTGGTTTGGATTGTTTACAACCTCAGAATCTAGTAAGTCACCTGACTTGGGTCTTGGCCTTTTGCCACAGGATCCAGGAAAATCTCATGTGGAAGAAATGTACCCCATTACATACCAGAACCTAAAGCAGGGGTATCCAAACTTGGCAACTTTAAGACTTGTGAACTTCAATTCCTATGCTGGCTGGAGAGTTCTGGGAATTGAAGTTCACAAGGCTTAAAGATACCCCTGACCTAAAGTGTATGTCTTTCTTTTCTATGATTCCACACTTAATACCTGCAAATGGTTCAATTCCAGAGTTTAAACAGATTCCCCAAAAGGTGAATTTACAATGCAAGAGATGGAGAACGTTCCAGATTTAAATTGGTTTAACAATTTAAATTGTTTAATTAAAACTAGCCACAGTTGGCTTTTGAGCCTTATTAGGCTTAATTACTTCATTAGGGAGTATATGGCAGGGTAATTAGATCACGGGAACTTACATATTGCAGGAAGTGAGACCCCAAATTGCAACAGGTTTGTTTTCACATATAACTTGACAAGGCTTGGTTCATCCTTCGAGCTGCAACGGTATGTAATGCTTTTCCATTTCTTAATTTTCCAGAATGAGAACTTGCAGACCTGGTATAATGTATGAGAATGTATTTATTTTCTGAACTGCTTCCAGAGCCAAAAGTTTGGAAGGGGGGAGAAATAGTTTCAAATAGACTATACCTGTCCATGGAGCTCTATTAAATATTGCCAAGCTTTTTTCCCTCCCTTCTTTCACCCTAATTAGATGCCATGTTAAAGGACAAAGTGCTCTCATAACCCACTTAGGAATTTTAAAGTAAAATATACAGATAAAGAGTAAAATGTGCCTTTTTTTTCTTAATAGCCTACATTGAGACAATGCTGAAATGTTTTTCTGTAAAATAGATGATGGAATTACTGATACAGGCTGAAATACAAATTTGCTTCGAGGCAACACAGCAGAGTAGGCAATACTGCTTAGGAAAGCAAAAATGTGCCTTCTTCCTAGGGGTGAGAAAAAAGGACTCGTCCAGAATCATGCAGTTGGTTTTTATGGCTAAGTCATAGCATCCAGCTTTCTAGCCTGGTTCCTTAATGGGTAGACCAAACTGGCTTTCTTTACAAATTTGTTTTCTTTCCTTTCATGGGCTTCAACAGAAAGCCAAGTACATATTTAGGAATGGCCCTTTAATTTCTTTTAAAACTGGCATTCTTTTCTCAAACCTCCGTTTCTACATATAACCAGCTCTTTTAAAGTTCCATTATTATGGAATGCATTATTAAGGATAAATCCACACTAAAATGCAAAATCACTCAAATTTTAACACACAACATATGCTAGTTTCAAATCTTCAGAATCACATTTCTTAAACTTTCTCTTGCTTTCTTCTTACATTCTATCT